AACAGTTCAGCAGAAAAACGAGCCTAGGCCCAAAAAACCCGACTAGCGGTCAAAAGTTAATACAGTCGCGGTCGACCGTAAAAAATTATGAGACCAAATCTGATTACAGGGTTTGGCACGGTCGACCGCAAAAAGTCCAGAGACTTTTCGTATATCTGTGCACGTTCGCGATCGACCGCCGCGTCACTCGCGGTCGATCGTGAAACCTCCAAGCTGGTTCCTTCGTTGTTTTGTCTGACCTTCATCGTCGTTCTTGTTCCTCCAATTTCTCATGTTTCCTCTTCGAAAATACGGTATAGAGCAAGTCAGATAGTTAGGCTCCACATATCCTAACAACAGGATATAGGAAGTAATAAGGAACCTAACCGCGTTTTCATTGAGTTGAGGACTAAATCAAAATTCAAAGATTCAAAAAATAATATTGGGGAAAAACAACATAATTTCCATGGCGTAATTCCTTGTAAATGAAATCTTTTGCGTGCTCCTTGGGTTGCTTGGGCTTTTATCCTCCTTTAATCTCTTACAATTGATCCATTGCCTACCTTAAGGGTTTGCTCATAGGGTTTTTAATCACCCAGCGGTCGCTATCACTCATTCCTTTAAAGTTTCTATTATGCCCTCAAAGAGTTATATAAAGGGGTTTTTGCTTTCAGACCCATTTGTTTACTCTCATTTATCTTTAAACCCAAGTACTATTATTTCTATTTTTAAGCTCAATTCACCTTTTGTATTTATCTTTAAATCCAATCTCCAAAATATAAAAACAAGTGGTGAAAATATAGTATTTTGAAGATTGGGTTTAAAGATAAATATAAAAGGTGAATTGGGCTTAAAGATACAAATAATAGTACTTGGGTTTAAAGATAAATGAGAGTAAACAAATGGGTCTAAAAGCAAAAACCCCTTATATAAAACACCATAGATCAACTTCCCTCTCAGTTTAATTCCTCCTATTATCGTCAACTCGTGGCAGCTTCACCCATACCGTTACCCGTGCTCAGATTTGATATCTCTATCGCCACGTGGTGATCAAGATCCTACTAAAATACATGCTATTATATTTTTGTGAACCCTCATTTTGCCCGCCACCCTTCAACTAATTAGTTTTTTTACTTTTTCGGTTTTTAAAGATTAGACAGGGACCTTTTCAGAAAAAAGACCCAGACACACAGACCACTGCCGCAGACAGATGTCATGCGATTGTGATCATTGCAATAATTGAAGTCATGGTGAGCTCAATAACTGCGAAGGATGTACGAGAGGAACAAGCTAGTACACGGCATGCACATGATTTCATTAGAAAGAGAGAGAGAGGGGGGGGGAGGGAGAGCGCGCACAAGAAATGGACTAGTTAAAGCCGAGCAGCTTCCTCTCACTAGCTTTATTACTAGCATCCCTCTACTGAAAAAGGCGGATACGGGTACTGTATACAGCACGTACATACGTACGTACGCTAGTTGGCACACACAGTTTGCTGCCTGCTGATGCTACGAGTCCGATACACGAGGTCAGTAGTCACATCGAACCGAAAAGTCTTTAACGCCCAAATCTTTGGTGCAGGTTCTCTTAGTTATTACCGAATCCAAATCCACAGTCACAGTCAACAGCCTTGTGATTTGATGGGCTACGCTGTGTATGGCTCTATCTCATCCGCGCTCTCATTAATTTTTCACTACCACCACAAACATCCGGTAAAACTCGGTTGATGAACAACCACCAACTAGATAATTAATAGTTACGATTATATAGTGTTTTTTTTATTATTTTTTTTATAATGAAAAAGATCTGAATCCGTTGATGAAATCTTGTGTTTCAATTCTCAAAACCATGCATTAGTCTTTTTGTGAATTGCTATATCAAACTTTCGGCCTTTGAGTTTACCGTAATCCTGTTTCTTGAGATACAAAAAAAAAAAATAGTATAGATGGAATTGATGTATTATAACTTGCTGAGAAAAGAGGCGCGTGAACTAAAATCGCCAATTAAAAGAACAACCACCAAAGCAGAAAAAATTGACAATCGCATGCACAAGATCGAGTTTCGCCCCTATTCCTATTTCTTGGATCAGACCAAGTTCAAATTCTACGGGGAACAGCAGATAAATTCTACGGGGAACAGCAGATAAATTTCATTATATTTCTTGAAAATATACATTACACAGACGAAATCATTCCTTCTCCAGAAACTAAAATAACAGATTAAAAGAATAACCACTTAAAGCATAAAAATTGGCAATCACATATACAATAATTTAACGTCGACCGAAACAAGTCCGACGTCTACGGACAACAACAGATAAACTTTACACATTATACAGACTTGATTATTCGATATCCAGAACTTGATCTCTCTTAAGAAAATAAAAAAGTTGACAATAGCAAGTTCTACATTTCGCAGACTATTCTAGCCTTCAAGGTCAATTAAACCCTCACTTGATCACTAGCGGTGACGACGTGTGATGTTGCTTTATTTGAGCACATAATTTAATTTATTTTTCAATCAAATAATGAATCACAATCATTTTCTAAATTAATGGACGACTATGATTAGAATATCTATTTTTTTATCTTTTATAGTTTTGAATATNATTGTACGCGTCCGTGTTGTCTGGTCAATCATAGCACTTCTGCCAGTAATCATACTTCAAAGGAGGCACGGAACAGGCATGGCCTGTCTAACTCTATCCGCTTTCAAAAGCCTACAATCATTTGTCCCCAAATAAAAATAAAAATAAAATCTGCCATCATATTTTCTTTTCATTGATAAATTGCGTGTGGGGATAAGTTTTTCATTTTATGTAACTTAATTAAATGCACCTGAGAGATGTATATTTGGATGAATAACGTTTGAAAATGGGAGAGAATGTTTCATTGTACAAGCTAATTATATTTAATTACCTTAATTTTGTCTTTATATAAAAAAGGGTTGAAGTGAGATCAGATACAAAGTAAATTAATGTTAAATTTTAAATTATAACTAACTTTTTTTATTGAAAGCGTATTTTTATATTAAAATATAATAACAATCATATAAAGGAAATTTTGGTTTTAGTTTTTGTAGGATGTCTAAAAATCACTGCAGATAGCTAATACTCATCAAACACGTACCGATGATGGAAGTTACAATTCGACGGTTTTAAAAAGGCTATAATTTAAAGACTTTCATGTAGATCGATGAAAGTTACAATCTGACGATCTTCACAACCACTGATGAAAGCTTTAATCAACAGCCTTCACAATCGACATCGGGAGTTATAATCTAACGACTCTCACATATCAAAGAGTTAAAGCAAAGATTACAAAATGACGATCTTTGCAACGTTTTGACAGAAAGAGACTACAAATCGACGGTCTCTCCAAATCAAGATGCGAAAGTCCTCCTCGCGTACCAGCATCAAGACGCACCGTGTTCACAGCCATTGACGCATTGCAAACGCAACTCACATTCAGCTCCAAACGCTGTAAACACAGCTCAGATCCAGCTGCCAACGCAGCTCATATTCGACCGCAAACGCAGCCTCCGAAAGCTGCCAACGCAGCTTCCAAATCGGCAAACGCAGCTTTCAATTGCTGCAAATGAGCTTCCAGACGCTGGGTCCGAGCTTCCAGACGCTACGTTCAAGCTTTCAAACACTGCGTTTGAACGTAGAATTCAAGTTAGAACGCGGATTTTACGTTTGACTCGTTCAAACACGAGCTTAACGGTTTCAAAACCATTTCTCACGATCTGAGGGGATCACAACTCCACTAAGGAGTGATTTAAGGGGCGGTTACATCTAATAAACTCCACTTAGGAGCGAATTAAGGAGGCGGTTACACCCCTTAATATCCTATAAATAACTAAGAAATCAACTTAGTTCGGATTCTTCTCCTTGGCAGCAAAGAAGAGATCATTGGCTGGCTTTAGAGGGGGGGTATATCTTTGGATCTTTGAGAATTAGAGATCTAGATATCAACTTCTTCAAATCATCTTCTCAGCAGTAGATTCTTGGAGCTTTCTTCGTCCTTGGCTTGTCTAACCAATTACAGTTAAGATCAATCAACTTTTTTACAAGAGTTTGAACTCGTTCTGAGTTCTTAAAACTCATTAAAGTTTCCTTTAATTGTTCCAGTGAAACAAGACGTTCGGATCTTCAACGAGAAGCAAACTCGATGCAAGCATTCGTGGGAGGCATCTCATCGCTACCGTGAAGAACCCAGATTTAAACAAAGGGGAGAATTCAGATCAATTCTCCTATCTTTTATAATCAGGAAATTCAATTGTAATCGAGATGGAGAGAATACAAATCAAATGTCTTTCATTCTTTTTACTACAAATTTTCCACCAAACAGTTTTTTAATTGAAAAGTGTAATTTATACTAAAATATAAAACCAATCATATAAAGTTTCTAGTGGACAAGGGTTATTTTCACAAAGTTCTCTCGCACGGTCGCACCAATAGTTTTTAGCTGAATGACTGGCATTTTATTAACGTTGACGCAGAAATTGAATGGAAAAGGAAATGGGTCGTTGTATGTTGGCCCAATGGTGTACGGAGGTGGTTTTTCGCAACCCGAAGAATTACAGAAGGCAACCATATATGTCCTCCAAATAAACCATATATATACTTCATACTTACTCTATAAATGCACATCGTGCTATATATAATTGAAACTTAAACTCTCAACATTTGCCATGCAATTTATGGTATACAAGACCGAATAGTACTATGCAATTTAGAAAAATAGCATTTAAGTACTGGACATAACACTAATAATATACGTAATAATATATTATTTGGTATTTTAAAAGGATACATTCTGTATTAGAAATCCACTAATAGAGGTATCCACGAGCACTAAACAAATAACCGTCGCGGGTGTGCGTGTAAAACCCCTTAGAAAGTTACATCCTATAGCAAAACTCCATCTCTATTGTAACTGAGATTTTTCTCTCTCAACAATACCAATATAAAATAGGTTGTTAATGCTAAAACAACTGATTCATGACTCTGGAAACAAATGCTGAAAATCAGAGATAAGGCTTTGGATTTAACTGGAGGAGCTGATAACCTGAAGCTTATCATTGGATCTTGCTACAAGAATTCTAAAGTTAAACCATCAGCCTTGTATACAATTCTATCTCCAACTTCCCTCAAAGTTCCATGGTATAATACTGTTTGGGGAAATTTAAATTACCCTAAGCACTCCATCATAAGTTGGCTTGCTGTTCAAAACAGGTTGCTAACACAAGACAGGTTGGCTAGGATGGGGGTACTGAATGCAAATTCCTGTTATCTTTGCAATGGTGATGCAATAGAGAGTCGTGACCATCTCTTTTTTGAATGTGAATACTCTATGAATGTCTGGAACAAGATCATGTCGTGGCTTAACTTCAGATGGCGTTCTTGTAACTGGAATTGTATGTTGGAATGGTTCACTACCAGTTTGAGAGGCAAGGGTTTTAAGCAAAGGATTAAGAGGATGGCCTTTAACACTTCATTATACAAGATTTGGAATGAAAGGAACTCCAGGATTTTTATTCAGAAATCCAAAGGGCCTGATCAGCTAGTTAAAGAGATCAAAGTTGATATGTTGATACTAATACTCAATGGCAATACTGCTCCGGAAGATAGAGAATGGGTTTTATCACTGTAAATAGTTTTTCGGAGTACATATGATGTTTTTTAGTATATCTGTCAAATATATAGGTTTTCTCATATTATGAGAATCATGATGTACAAAAATTTTCATATGGTTGAATGAATAAAATTTTTCATTGACCAAAAAAAAAATATAAAATAGGTTGCACCCGAAACAAATCGCAACAATCTACACAAAAACGAGAAAGAATGGCACTCCATCAACCAAAATTAATACAAATTAATTTCACCTAAACCTTATTGGCAATTTATGTACCATCATTTATGACCACCATGCATATATGTTCCTATCACTCTTCAGTAGGAGGGCTGTCTCCTTCTCATCCTTTACGATTTTGTGCGTGGCATGATTAAGGGCATCATTGTGCATGGACAAGCCCATGAGAGGACCCTGGTGCTTGAAGCCTGCCTGCTCCCAACGAGATTTATTCACCCTACTTTCATTTTCCTCCTGTTGGCAGTCGTGGCATGTGCATTTGCACTAATTATTATGGTGGAAATATGCAGATGTGTTTTTTCCCCCTTCCTTTTTTAGTTAATTTATTGTCGCACAAAAGAACAGAAGGGATAATTCAATTACAAAACCCACACTGTCCAAAAGCAAAGTGTCGATCGGGTGAAACCTGTAATATTAATTTGCATGTTTAAAAAAAAATTAGGAAAAAAAAATAATAAGAGCACAAGAGCTTTGTTTATCGACGATTGTGATATAATATTGGTCTCTCTAGTGCTTTTGTCGGTCAAGACGACCCGTATCTTGGAAAATAAGAGGACGCGAGATTTTACCAATTAATTAATTAATATATCTTATCCTTTCAAAAAATAAACCCCATGGATAAATCCAAATAGTTGAGAGCGGCACTCGTCGGTACGCCACAATAATTGCTTCAAATTACGCAAAAGATGAGGGAGGGGGGGTGTGGACACCTTAAAAGTGGCCGGTTAAAGGCCAAACACAAAACATTCCATCACAAAGATTATTAAGGTTTTGGATACTTCTGAATCATTATCAGCAACACATATCACACCACATGATTAGACATCTTAAAACCAATTATGATCTCTGACAGTGTGGGTTGAAACTTGACAGTTTGATGCCCTCCGCCGTGAGCTAGCGCACACAGCAGGCAGCAGTGCCACCCCCCATGTCTGCTCCCCCGCATGCTTTTAAAGACAAAATCTTTGGGGTGTGATTCTCTCTGCCCACTTCACAGTCAAACCCTAACCCTAACCCTAACCCTAGGGACGCATAACTCGTTCATATTAGCAATGATGGTTGCGTTAGATCTACTGCAATGAAGTCTTGCCGCTGTCGCCTTCCCTGCAGATGCAGCATTTATTTGGCAAAATCCGAGGAATATATCCTCTGCTCTCTTTTGAGATTTTTTCCCCCCTAGTTTTTTTTTTTAAATATACTTTTTATTGGTTCTTTTTAATTTTCATCGTGGGCTGGATTCTGCTATAAGGTTAGTTTGAGTGTGGCTTGATTTGACAGGTGCAAAAAGTTTTTGAGCTCTGGCCGCTGGGTGGTTTAATTAGGGAATTAATAATGGTGTGCAAATGTCGGCTTCTCGTTCAGAGAAATGTGGGTGAATGTTAATTAAGGGATCTAGTGTAATCTTTACAAAACGCCCATTATATCAATACGGAACATACAGGGGATTGTTTGGCCCCAACAATGCATTTTGGGAACTTCATGACGCAGCGCAGAAGTTGTAATCTCGGAATCCATCAAGGGTGTTCTCTGAATTCACAAAGAACAATATTCGAATCCACGAAGAAAATATTGAAAAGAGAAATTTTATTGATAAAAAGTTATTCTCCTTTGGGGTTACATGACTCTTCTTAAATAGAAAAACAAATAAGACTCGTAGTAAGACTAGAATTATAAAAATAGAAAGTATCAAATAAGACTTCTAGTAAGACTAGAATTACAAAAAAAAAGTGTCAAATTCTATCTTAAAAAGACTCCTTATAATAGAGGAAACAAATCATGTATCAAAATTGATTTTGTTTCCTAATCTAATTGGACTATAAAATTGAATTTATTTCCTAATCTATATTTCCTAATCTAAATAGACTCCAACTCAGATTAAGCGTCCTACATCACTTCAATATTGATTTTGGGCTTTGTTGAAATTCTGTAAAATTTTAAAGTTAGGGTCCTTTTGGCAATCTCCCACTAACTAGCTTAGTGAAACTAATCCCGAATTGCTAAAATTATGCGAGGTAAACGCTGAGCCAGAGTTGAACCTGTTGTTTTGGTTCAAAATTTAGTCTTTAAATCGGTTTTGTTCTGAGCCAGGAATGATGATCTAGAAGTAATCTGGTGTAGGCCAAAACTGATTTAAGGGTTTTGATTCTATCTACTACGAACTGTCAACGAATATTTACTTACAACGCTAATTTTGATTGGAGATTTAGATAACTACGATCAAATTCTTGATTCCATCCATGCACCTAGCTACCTTGGGTGCTGTTGTTTCTCACAAACCCTGAGCAGATTCATGCATGAGGAATGCACATGCTGTTTAAGGAATATAAATTATGATTGACCAAATCCAAAAAAAGATTCACACGACTTCATGCATTAAAGAGGCGTTGAAATGAGCAGAAAGCCTGCTAAAACTGACAAAAACTGTCAGTTTTGGCAGGCTTTACCAAGTCCTCTTCAGCAACCAAACGGGCATGAATGTTCGGTGCATGTCAACAATACTCCATATATAAATTGAAGGAATTAAACATATATCCAAGCTGCTAGCTGTTGAAATCAAGAGTACACCAAATAGCTAGAAGTTATGAGAGAGGGTCCAAACTCAATTTCTTTAGAAAATCTTGCCCGTTGATCGTGATGGAGGTATTTGATCCTTGGGGTCCACAGGTAACAGTCGAGGTTTTTTGAGGCTGAAGAGTATGATCCCATGAATGAGGTGCAACTTGAAGGGTGCTGAGCTAGACATCACCCCCTCAATCGGTCTGAATTGCTCTTCCATAAAATTCGATCTTTCTTGTTCAATTATTGAACATTTTTGGGTTTTGTCAATTATAGAATAAAATTTGATCTTTTTTGCCATAGGTTTCAATCTTGCAAGATAGGAGTTCCATGCTAGTAATTTTGGTTTCTGACGAGGTATGCACACTGTTAAAAAACTAGGCATCCTAGACGGAAAAATCCGTCTAGGATACACACAATTCCGTCTAGGATGTGTATCCTAGACGGAATTCCGTCTAGAATACCCGTCTAGTTTATTTCCGTCTAGGATGCAGTATTCTAGACAGAAATTCCGTCTAGAATACATCCTAGACGGAATATTCTAGACGGAATTCAAAACCGTCTAGAATACATCCTAGACGGATTATTCTAGACGGAATTTCCGTCTAGAATAATTTATTCTAGACGGAAAAAAATTCCGTCTAGAATGAGTATTCTAGACGGAATTTCCGTCTAGAATACTCATTCTAAACGGAAATTGATTTTTTTATTTTTAATTTTTTTTATTTTTAAAAATGTATTCTAGACGGAATTTGAGCATCCTAGACGGAATTTCCGTCTAGGATACTATACTACAGTAGTTTTTTTTTTTTGCATAGTCTACTTTGAGTGCATGTACACAGTATTGAACAACAAAAAATTATATTCATATCCAACACAATCTAATTATATTCCAATATCAAATCTCATTATATTCAAATAATACATTCACAAAAATAGTAGAGAGATACATAAATTGTTTACAAACTTTTACAAATACATAAATTATGATAGCATGTATTTCTTTCAAAATGATTTATTGGCCTCTTGACACGCTCATCTGGCTCGATGTCAACAATGAGGGTCTGCACTATTTCATATCCACAAGCAGACATAGACTTCTTGAGCTCCTCTTTGACAGCTTTAGCAATATCATTCTCCTGTGCCAATGTATCATCCAGGTTCAGCTTTGGAACGCTTGCTCTGATCACTAAAGTTACAAGCAAGCAATCTCAGTTCTTACAAAAAATAGCATCATTGGAATTCTATGATTAAGTTGAAGTAGAAAATGAAATCCGTACCATCAAACACATAGGCTTGAATCTGAGCCCTTGTGTTGCTCAGCTTATAGTATGCATCATTTGCCTTATCAGCATGCCTCATAACCTACGTATGTATCATGCAGTACACTACAATTTCTACAACTGCAATGAAAACAAAAAATTAAATTGAGAATCTTCATCTAATTATCAGCACAGTGTTTCATCATCAAGATTAGGTTTGGTATTGGACAAGAGGTTATACAAAAATACTTGATAAATTTCATGACAAGCTATCAAGTTCTTTGAGTAATTAATATTAGACCTAAAGGTAAAAAAACTAAACAATACAATTGACACACCTTGAGGAGTTAGGTCTGAATAATAGTGAGAACGAACCCTCGAGCTTCGGATCAATGACGAGACATTTCTTTTCACGAACCTAAACATTATAACAAAATAATCTAAGTAAAAATTAAAAAAAAAACAGAGAATTCAAGCGAGAGAGAGAGATGATTAAAAAACAGAGAATTCAATTATTATTTAGAAGTTAAAGTATCACCATGCCCGCCTTCATTTCACGCTTAAGTTCACCAAGCTCCCTGAACTTTGCACAATAATTTGGCAAGAACAAACTCCAAGTCTATTATAGATTTACTCATTTAAACTTGAACCGCCTTTAGTTTTGCAAAATTAAAAGACTGATTATTTCGTCCTCCTCATTGAAAGACACCAACATATGCACACATATATATAGAGAAAGGACAATAAATAAACCAAATATATAAAAATAGAACCAACATATGCACACATATTTCTAATTGACCCCCTAGCTACATTATGCACATATTTGCCCCTAAAATTATAATAACACAAAACTTACAATTCTACAGAAGAAGACAATGTCATACACTTAAATTGACGAGAATCATGTCACCAACCAAGCTACAGGCACAAATCATCAAGCTTTAAAGTACATTGATA